ACTATAGCTATTATATTGCATATTATGTAAATTTGGTCTTATGATTCTCATTAACTTCAGTTAAATTTCATTATATCAACTATTAATGTTTTGGTACAAGTGTTGAATTGCATGATTATTAATACAGTATCTTATTGAGTGTTGCATTTACTAGCGTCAAGAGCAACATATTAAGCGCAATGAGTTAATTTTATTATTGCATACAATTCGTTTATAATATACATATTTAATATTCATATCGTTGTTTAGATTTTCATATACATTCCATTAATAACAGATAAGGATTGTGTTAAACAGGCACTCTTATGACGGATCATGACCAAGAGGCATGTTATTTATATCAATATATACATATATTTATGTAATATACTACTATTTTGGTGCGTTGCTATGTGCACGGTTGCCACTTGAAAATTTTTTTCTGTACCAAAATTGGTTTAAAAAGGTACCATTTCTGTAAAAAAAGGTCCAAAATTTTTCTATTGTCTTTTTATAAGAAAATACAATTTATATAAAAGGTACAAAAAGTATAAAACAATAAAATATCCGCAATAAAGTTGGGTCGCCGAAAATGTACCATTTTTTAAACATGAGTACCAGAGTACCAAACGGAAAAAAAAGTACCAATTTTGGTACTAAAGTACCATAAGTGGCAACCGTGGCTATGTGCCTAAATTTAGAAAATCCAGACGGAAATACACATATTTACTCCTAATAGACGCAAATTCTGACTCTTATTACTGAGTAGCATTGTTTTGACCAGCATGACAAGGCACCGTGATCACGGTTCCCACATGAAAATTTTTTCCTGTACCAAAATTGGTTTAAAAAGGTACCATTTCTGTAAAAAAAGTTGCATTTATAAAAAAAATTAATTGGAAATATCCACAATAAAGTTGGGTCATTAAAAATGTACCATTTTTTGAACATGAGTACCAAACGAAAAAAAAAGTACCAATTTTGATACTAAAGTACCATAAATGGCAACCGTGGTCGTGACCAAATTTAAGTATAGATTTTTCTCACTCTCAATTTTTTAATTTACATTGAAATAGCAATTTGAAATTTGATGTGACCACGACTAAGATATAAATTCATATCCTAAAAATACTTGATTATTAGTAACTAGAATATTACTTGATATCATTTATTCAAAACCATGTATCTGAAGCTCCTTTCTAACTGTTCTACAACTATAGTACGTTCGTACCTATTGTTCAAGTTGTGAAAAGTTTATCATGTTGTGTAATGTTATATCTTCGTATTTTTATCTTATTTTCCATACTAATTTAAATATTCTTTAAATTCTACTGTCATCAAATTTATTTATATAATTCAGTTTTTATTTAAATTTTCTACTGTCCCATCGTAGTCTTTTAAAAATTAAGTATTATGAAACACTTTATTGTCTTCAAGAAAATTCATAAAAAATTCTGTCATTTATCTTTATTAACAAACGCGTTTATTAAACAAATTTTAAAATATTTTTTTTTTTATTTTTTATAAAAAATTTATTTCATTTTTATTACAACGCAGTTCAGATAGTAGTGCCTTTCTAGTCACTAACTAAAATCAGTCAAATTATTCGCTAGAACTCTTCTTCTTTCTTCTGTACACTTTTACGACGTTGGAATGCTTTTCTCATTCAAATTTATGACAGTCTCGACTATAATTTAAAATAATCTGTCAAATTAGTAAAAAATTAATGTGGTAACTGGCAACGGTTTGTGTTTAAAAAATATTTTTTAATAATAACTTGTTAAATAAAAAACAGCGATAGGAAATGTTTCTTAAGAAAAGAATTAGAAATTAAACAACGGTTTTTTATTCAACAAGTTTTTATAAGTATTTTTTTCTTATCGAAAACTACAAGAATAATTTAATTTACAAAATATATTTATTTATAAAAGACACAAATTTATTTAACCAAATTGGAATCTACAAAATTACTATTTCAAGTTGTACTTTTAAAAGTTTTTTGTACTACGCCTCATCGAAGACTTTCAAAAATCTTAGACTCCCTAAGGAAGTTATACAAAGAGCACTCGCGAAATGCTGTAAGCATATCAATGGAGTATACATACTATTTTTAACGACGAGGGAAATAGTTTCAAGTAGCCCGTATGAATTTATATAAACATCTTATCTCAAAATCCCCTTTTTGCAGTCAAGTTGCTTTCCTGTGAGGCGTTCATAGATGTTGAGATAAAAAATTTTCATAATTAAAAAATTTAACTTTTTTTATTAATTTAGTTTATATAACTCCTTTTTCAAAAAAGTCTTGGTAGATTCAGAAACAATCTACTCAAAGGTGTACAAAGGTTTCTCTTGCTAAAACAAGTGCTTCTAATCAGGTTCTAAACCAGTGTACCGTGTTTCTGTATAGTGTTTTCGAAAGTACGACCCACGTAAAGCTTTTTCTAGTATGATATCTTTTTAGTACTTTTTTTGAATAGTAAATTTTGTCATCATACCTTCACAATTAACAGCATTAATTTTCATATATTCTATTTTAAAACTAGTACCATTCACTAACTATTAATCATATTTTCACAACTCCCAAATAACACTGTTTTATTTTATATAAAAACACAATTTCAAATAACCGATCTATGGGGTGTTGAAAAATACTGCTCACAGCCATCGCGAAAATGTTAAATATGGAT